CTTATGAATGTATGAATCATACGGTGAAAAACTGACTTTGAAAAATAAATCTGTTCTTTTTTCTTATAAAAGTCTAACTAAAATCATTGGTGGTAATTTTTGACTGTGTAACTTTTACAAACATCACCTGTAGGATGGCTCTCACCTGTTTGAGACTCTGCCTGCACTCGCTCACTGGATTTATCGCTCTGCACAAACACAAAGAGAGGAAATCATTCAGCTAAAACTGAAACCAGAAGATTTGWTTGGTTAATGATCAGGAAACAAGGAGCTCTCCCACCTTATTATTATCATTTAAAGGCCTGTTGATAGACACATAGTGTCTGATTTTTCTGTGGATGAGACACGAGTCATCAGATAACAGATCAAATTGGGCAGAACGGTTCTGGTTCTGGTTSTGGTGGAGCCGGGCTTCACTCACCCTCCCTGTCCGATCACAGGTGTGATTTTCACATTCTGCTGAATGTTGTCTCCGTTCTTCTTTTTGGCGTAATAAATCCCCTGCCACTCCTGAAACACACGTTTAACATGCTTCACAACAGGAAGAATACACACGGTTATTTCCCTGATTATTTCCAGAAATTTAATCATTTTTTTACAGATCTACATAGTTCAGTTTATTTTATTTTAGCTGTTCATTAAATAAAATGTTCAGCTGGTTCAGAAGGTGGGTGCTGGGACTTTTAGTTTTTGTAACTTTCATACTTTTCAGTGGTGAGCACAGCAAACAAAACAAGTTAGGTTCACTAAAACTCTAATCCACTAAACAAGAATCTTAGCTTCGCTAACACTAAACTAATTACAAAATTAGTAGAAGCTAARGCTAACCGCTAAACAGATTACAATATTAGTAGAAGCTAACGCTAACCACAAAACTGATTATAAAATTAGCCAAAGCTAATCCGTCCGCTAACGGTTTCCAAAGTTAGAAAAAAAAAGCTAACCTGCTAAATGAGAAGCTACATTTGCTATTAGCAGATTAGCGTAAATGTGCCCACCACTATGTTCTTCTTAAACAATTTTTTAGCTTTTGGCTAACTTTTTGATCTGTTTTGCTTTTAGTTGTTGTTACATTATGGTTTGAGCTAGCCTTTCGATACTTATTCCAAGTTTTTTTACATTTAGGTTTTAGAAAACCTAAACCCTGTGATGGACTTGCGACCTGTCCAGGGTGTACCCC